TACATAATGATTTGGTTATGCATATGTTCGGGCTCTAGTAGACAGCGGTGCACAGTGTACCCTAATGCTGTCAAGCTGTAAAGGGGTAGAACCCCTCTGTATTTCTGGAGTGACAGGGGGATCCCAACAGCTGACTCTATTGGAGGCCAAAGTAAGCCTAACTGAGAACGAGTGGCAAAAGCCCTCCGGTGTGACTGGCCCAGAGGCTCTGTGCATCCTTGGCATGGGCTATCTCAGGAGAGGGTATTTCAAGAACCCAAAAGGGTACCGGTGCATTTTTGGTATAGCTGCCTTGGAGGTGGTGGAAATCAAACAGCTGTCTGCCTTGCCCAGTCTCTTGAAGGACCCTTCTGTTGTGGGGTTGCTGAGGGTCGAAGAACAACGTGTGCTGATTGCCACCACAACAGTGCACTGGTGGCAATATCGCACCAATCAAGACTCCCATATTCCCATCCCTAAGCTCATTTGTTGACTGGAGAGCCAAGGAGTGATCAGCAAGACCCACTCACCCTTTAACAGTCCTATATGGCCAGTGCAAAAGTCTAATGTAGAGTGGAGACTGACAGTAGACTATCGTGGCCTGAATGAAGTCACACCGCCACCGCGTGCTGCCATGCTGGACATTCTAGAACTTCAATATGAACTGGAGACAAAGATAGCCAAGTGGTATGCCACAACTGATGTTGCAAATGCGGTTTTCTCAATTCCTTCGGCAGCAGAGTGCAGGCCACAGTTTGCTTTCACTTGGAGGGGCATCCAGTACACCTGGAATTGACCACCCCAGGAGTGGAGACATGGGCCTCCATTTGCCATGGACTGATCCAGATGGCACTAGAACAAGGTGAAGCTCCAGAACATCTGCAATACATTGATGATATCATTGTATGGGGCAACACAGCAGAAGAAGTTTTTGAGAAAGGGAAGAAAATAGTCCAAATCCTTCTCAAGGCCAATTTTGCCATAAAACAAAGTAAGGTCAAGGGACCTGCACAGGAGATCCAGTTTTTAGGAATAAAGTGGCAAGATGGACGTCTTCAGATCCCAATGGACGTAATCAACAAAATAACATCTATGTCCCCACCAGCTAGCAAAAAGGAAACACAAGCTTTCTTGGGTGTGGGGGGTTTTTGGAGAATGCATATTCCAAATTACAGCCTGATTGTAAGCCCTCTCTATCAAGTCACCCAGAAGAAGAATGATTTCAAATGGGGCCCTGAACAACAACAAGCCTTTGAACAAATTAAACAGGAGATAGTGTATGCAGTAGCCCTTGGGCCAGTCTGGGCAGGGCAAGATGTTAAAAATGTGCTCTACACTGAAGACAGGGAGAATGACCCTACCTGGAGCCTCTGGCAGAAAGCACCAGGAGAGACTTGAGGCTGATCCCTAGGGTTTTGGAGTTGGGGATACAGAGGCTCCAAGGCCTCCTATACTCCAACTAAAAAAGAGATACTGGCAGCATATGAAGGGGTTTGAGCTTCTTTGGAAGTGGTTGGTACTGAAGCACAGCTCCTCCTGGCACCCTGACTGCCGGTGCCGGGCTGGATGTCCACAGGGAGCGTCCCCTCTATGCATCATGCAAATGATGCTACGGGGAGTAAGTGGGTTGCACTGATCACACAATGGGCTCGAACAGAAAACTCCAGTCACCCAGTAATATTGGAAGTGATCATGGACTGGCCAGAAGGCAAAGATTTTGGAATATCACCAGAAGAGGAGGTGATATGTGCTGGAGAAGCTCTACTGTATAAAAAAATACCAGAAAGTGAGAAGCAGTATGCTCTGTTCACTGATGGGTCCTGCTGTCTTGTAGCAAAGCATTGGAGGTGGAAGGCTGCTGTATGGAGTCCTACATGACAACTTGCAGAAACTGCTGAAGGAGAAGTTGAATGGAGTCAGTTTGCAGAGGTGAAAGCCATCCAGCTGGCTTTAGATATAGCTGAAAGAGAAAAATGGCCAGCACTTTATCTTTATACTGACTCCTGGATGGTGGCAAATGCCTTGTGGGGGCAGTTACAGCAATGGAAACAGAACAACTGGAAGTGCAGATGCAAACCCATCTGGGCTGCTGCACTGTGGCAAGATATTGCTGCCCGGGTAGAGAACCTGGCTGTAAAAGTACGTCATGTAGATGCTCATGTACACAAGAGTCGGGCCACTGAAGAACATCAAAACAGTCAGTGGGTTGATCAGGCTGCTGAGATCGAAGTGGCTCAGGTGGGTCCAGCCTGGCTACTTAAGGGTAAATGATTTCTAGCTCGGTGGGTTCATGACATCTCAGGCCATCAAGGAAGAGATGCAACATACAGATGGGCTCGTGATCAAGGGGTGGACTTGACCATGGACACTATTGCACAGGTTATCCATGAATGTGAAACATGCACTGCAATCAAACAAGCCAAGTGGTTAAAGCCTGTCTGGTACGGAAGACGGTGGCTGAAATATAAACATGGGGAGGCCTGGCAAATTGGTTATATCCCACTCCCACAAACCCACCAAGGCAAGTGTTACGTGCTCATCATGGTAGAAGCAACCACCAGGTGGCTGGAAACATACCCTGTGCTGCATGCCACCACCCAAAGCACTCTCCTGGGCCTTGCAAAGCAAGTCTTATGGTGACATGGTACCCCAGAAAGAATTGAGTCAGACAACGGGACTCATTTCCGAAACAACCTCATAGACACCTGGGCCAAAGAGTATGGCATCGAGTGGGTATTTCACATCCCGTATCAGGCACCAGCCTCCAGGAAAATGGAATGATGCAATGGGCTGTTGAAGACAACACCGAGAGCAATGGATGGTGGGACATTCAAACATGGGGACACATGTTTAGCAAAGGCCACCTGGTTAGTCAACACTAGGGGATCTGCCAATCGAGCTGGCCCTGCCCAAGCAAAACTTTTACATACTGTAGAGGGGGATAAAGTCCCTGTAGTGCATGTAAAAAATAAGCTGGGGAAGACAGTCTGGGTTACTCCTGCCTCAGGGAAAGGCAAACCCATTTGTGGGCTTTTCCTCAAGGACCGGGGTGCGCTTGGTGGGTGATGTGAAAGGATGGGGAAGTCTGATGTGTACCTCAAGGAGATTTTAATCTGGGTGAAAACAGCAAATGAACTGAATGGTATGATGTTAATTGCTATGTAATACTGTACGTCATCACTTTTATGGTTGCTGTATACCATATCAATGGTATTACAGTAAGAATCACCCAGATTAATGAAGAATGAACTTTGACGAAACTGAGCAAAGTGCAGCAGTGATGGAATCAGAACTGGCTTCATCATGCAAAATTCCAACACTACACACCACCTCTGCTGCCCTGAAAGACTGTTATGACACAGATGGAGCCCAAAGTCATAGACTAAATGAACTCAAGGGACGTTTTAGAGGGATGGCCCATAGGTAGAGGGAATGATATCTCTGTGTGTATATTAAAAGACAGGGAAAGTAGTAGTGATTAATTGGAACATATTGGAAAGGGTGAAAACTCAGCACGATGTAGATGGTATAGAATAAGGGGTGGACGCTGTCCTGGTTTTGGGTGGGATAGAGTTATTTTTCTTCCTAGTAGTGGGCACAGTGCTGCATTTTGGATTTAGGATGAGAAGAATTCTGATACCACCCTGATGGTTTAGTTGTTGCTAAGCAGTGCTTAACACCAGTCAAGGACTTTTCAGCTTCCCCTGCTCTGCCAGGGGCACAAGAAGCTGGGAGGGGGCACAACCAGGACAGCGGACCCCAACTGGCCAAAGGGGTATTCCAGACCATATGACATCATGCTCAGTATAAAAACTGGGGGGAGTTGGCTGGGGGGCAATGAGCACTGCTCAGGGACAGGCTGGGCATCGGTCGGCAGGTGGTGAGTGGTTGCAGCATTTGTTTTTCCTGGGTTTTGTTCTCTTTGTTTGTTTGCTGTTGTTTTCCTTTTCACTACAATTTATTACTATCATTATTATTATTATATTTTAATTACAAAACTGTTGTTCTCAACCCATGAGTTTTCTTACTTTTGCCCTTCTGATTCTCTCCCCCATCCCACCGGGGCGGGGAGGGTGCTTAGTTGACAGCTGGGGTTAAACGACGACAGCAGGTAAAACATGTGCTAAGACTGCATCCATGCACCCCTTTAGGGTGTGCTTTTTTGCATTCATGCCCTCCTGCTTGCATCCAGCCACGTCTCCGTGCACATCTGCAGATGCCCAGTTTGTGCGTGTACCAACGTACCGTGGAAAGCCAGGCGTGACTTAATTGATGTGGTTTCAGCCTCATTTCAAGCGCGGTCTGAATCCCGCAGCTGGCCCGGTTTGGCGGAGGTGATTGGGGAGGCTGCATGGGCTCTGCACGCTGGTGAGCTCATCCGGCGTGGCAGGGCAGCGGGGGAAACCGGGTGGCACGTCGCAGCCTGGGTTCCTTCATCTGTTTCCTGCACACGCTTTGCAGGTGGGAGGGAAGGGCGGGAGGACCGGGCTCCCTCGTGTTTACCCAGAGCTGCCGAGGAGGAGGCTGGTGCCTGGGCAGCGGGCAGCCACCTGCTTGCCAGCCTGGGTGCAGGTAGGAACACGCCGGCTGGGGCATAAATGGAGCTGGAGCTCAGCGTTTCCCTGGGCAAAGTACAGCAGTGTGGCTAGGTTCCTCATGCGGATGGATTTACCAAACAGATCTTCAGCTCCTGAACCACTGCTGAGCATATGTTTTGTAAACAGGGTCTACACATGTGGGGCTGTATGGGGAGAGCACTTTCCTGTGGGCTGAAAAGGAAGTCACCAAGCATCCCCCAAAAAACCGCAGCACCCCCTTTGCAAGGCAATAAGATGCTCTCAGGGCTGCTCCTTTCAGGGAGGGGCCAGCACATCGTTGCAGGCTTTGCTGGGAAGCAGCTGAGCAAATGCTTTCAAGGCATTTTAAGCAGGGTTTCTGGCCGGGCAGGGGGACTCCTTCCTGGCAGTGGGTGGCGGCGGGGGACGCCGGGCAGCATTGCGTCACTTTGCACGTCAGCTGGCGCCCGTGATGCGCAGACGCGAAGCAACTGCTGCCTGAAAGTGAGTGGGATGGGACAGAAATGTTTAAATGTTTCTTAGGGTCGGGCGCTTGTGGCTCTGCTGCTCGGAGGAAGAGGAGGGGAAGGGGAAAGGGAAAGGGAAAGTGTGCAGCTGCTGTCTTCCCCCTCCCCGGGCTACCGCCTTCCCAACGGGGGCAAGGAATTTGAGCCCCACGTGTGGCCGGGGACACTGTGCTGCTTTTCCAGCCAGGAAAGTAACATTTTAATTTTGTAATATATGTGGCAAAAGGCACAGAAGTTACTACAGGGAAATGAAATGCATCTAAATCAGTGAAACAGGTATCCATTTCCTGCTTGGGAGGGGGGGAGAAACCATCCCGAAACGGTTCTTGGCTTTCCTGAGGGTAAATTCCTGTGGATTTATACTTCGGCTTTATACCTTAAGATTTCTCTGTCTCCTTTCTGATTTGCATAGAGAATTTTTTCACCGTTCGGCTTGTCAGATGGTGCCTCCTGAAACCGCTGGTCACCCTGACCAGCCTTTGCAGCCAGGAAAATGGCTACTGGGGCCCCAGCTTTTCTCGGTGCCCGATAGATACAGATAGAGCAGGTCCTACCTGATCAACCTCTTAATGTTGTGAAAAGCTTAGGAAAGGCTTCTGGTCAGGTAGGGTCTCCTAATTGCCTATGGAGGCAGGAGGGATTAAGCTTGGCGCTCTGTTCCAGATACTGGATCGGGGACTTTCCAGGACCATGTGTGTGGCTGCCATCTCTGATTGCCTGCCGCGTTCTCCACCTGAAAACATCACTGGGAGCCAATTTGCTAGGTAAACTCTCTTAGATCTGAGGTAGTATTTATAGCAAGAACATCTGGGTTCTCCCCCGTCCCCTCACCCAAACACTTCAGCCCCCGGGGGACGCCTGCCTGGGCTGCGATTAGTGCGGAGACCAGGCAGTAAATGTGATGGGTGCATGTGTCTGGGTAAGTGCTAAAGTCGTACTTCTTGCCAGGCTTGGCAGTGGCATTGCTGTCCTTAGTTGCCCCTCATGCAGACCTGCAGGGCATCAAATGTAAATAGCGAGGTTTCACCATCTAATAAAACAAGATTTTCTGTTTATTAATTAGGTGAAGACCACAGAGCCCTTAAAATAGCAGCCTGTCCCACCTAGTGCATTTTGTCAGCCAAAGCCAGGGCATCCCCCACGACAAAGGCACGGGGCACCTCTCCCATCCTTCAGTGGGATCCCTGGGGTCAGGTGAGGAACATCAGAGGCACGGAGCCCTCCCTCTGGCCATCATGGAGCCCACAGCTGACAGCCAGCTGGAGGCATCTACTCCTTCCAGCACAGAGACAGCAGAAGACCTTGCCTTGAAGCTAAATGCTGCTATAAGGGACAATAATAAAAAAGATGTGCTGGAGCTGCTGGAGAAAGGGGCAGATGTGAACTCCAAAGCAGAAAGTGGCTGGACACCACTGCAGAGCGCCGTGCAAGCTGACAACGAGGATCTGGTCCGGCTTCTGCTGGACAAGGGTGCTTATCCACATGCCAGGAAGGACAACGGTGGCACTGCATTTACTGAGGCAGCGATAGCAGGAAATGTGAAGATACTGGAGCTCCTCCTTGATCGTGGGTTTAATGTTGATGACCATGACGACAATGGCTTCACAGCTTTCATGGAGGCGGCATGGCATGGGAGGGAGGAAGCCTTGAAATTCCTGTATAGCAAAGGAGCAAATGTGAATTTGAGGAGGGCAGTCAGCGAGGAGAAAGCAAAACTGCATAAAGGAGGTGCAACAGCACTGATGGACGCCTGTCAGGAGCGCCACTTCTCGATTGTAAAAACTCTTGTCCAAGAGATGGGGGCTGATGTGAACATTTGTGACAACAAAGATAGGAATGCCTTGATCCATGCTCTCAAGGGGGGTTGTACCAAGAAAAGGTACGAGTCCGCTGTCTCCATAGGCCATTTCCTGCTGGACTGCGGTGTTGATGTGAACAGCAAAGATGAGTGTGGGAAAACTGCTCTCATCCTAGCTGTTGAAATCCGGAGCCCAGATTTGGTGAAAGCTTTATTGGAGAAGGACAAAATAGATATTGATGATGCAGATGAGGAGGGCAACACAGCACTGATGGTGGCTGTAGAGGAGAATGATTATGATATGGCAAAGTTGTTGTGTGAAAAAGGAGCAAGGACTGATGTTGGGAACCTCATCGCTATTGTGAATAGGAACCGTGCTCTTGACATGGCTCGTCTTCTTCGCCAGTATAACACCAGGTTCATTCCAGAAACCCTCAAAGACTGGGAGCCAAACAGCAAACGCTGGAGGGACCAGCTGAAAAAACTTTATAAAATATATCGCCCTATGATTGGCAAACTGAAGACGTTTCAGTACATCCAGCAGAGAATTCAGAACACTTCCCAGGGTGGCATCTACCTGGGGCTCCATGATGGGACGGAGGTAGCAGTAAGAATAAGCCGCAGTGCGGAGGGTGACAGAGAGAAAAGATTCTTCGAACAATGTAGTAAATGTGAACATCTACTGAAGCTCTTCCAGTCTGAGAAGGCAGGAGGCTACATGTACTTGTGCTTCCCCCTCTGGGAGAAAAACCTTGAAGAACATCTGTGGGAACCAGAAGACCAAATGGATTACAAAGATGCTCTGAGGATGATCTTCCAGGCAGTGAGAGAGCTGCACTCCCTCGGATTTGCTCACCAGGATCTGCATCCCAGCAACTTTTTCATAGGTTATCTTTTGCTTTCTCAATGTTTTAATTTTGCTTTCCTGTCACCTGTAGTTTAGAGAAGCAGGTGCTTCATAGCTGTCTGTAAAAAAACAGATGTCTTTATGCAGAATGGGGTGGCTGCGGCATTAGCTCTCCTCTTTGAATAAGTATAGATATGTTCACAGACAGCCACAGAGGAGTGAGCAGAACAGCTTTACATGTCTCATTAGGTCTGCCCTCCTTTCCAGGCCTTTGCAGACAGATCAACTCACAGCAGATCTCTTCAGAGATTCGTTTTCTAAAGAATGGGCCACCCAGAAGTCAGTGACAGGCTCTATCAAGGTTTTCCGCCATTATTTGTTAACAGTTTCTCTTATTTCCTCAGATTTAGGTGGCAAAATTTACTTGGCGGACTTTGAGAATAAAAGACAGTTGATTGAAGGCAAAAAAGAACTTGTAAACTCAGATTTGGAGGTAAGTTCCCTGCGAATCAATGTTTCAAATGTCAGGTTCTCTGATGTTTTCTGTTGCTGTGAATCCTAGGGGAAGCCTTTCTGCATAGAACCATAGAATGTTTTGGGTTAGAAAGGACCCCTAGAGGTCATCTAGTCCAACCCCCCTGCAGTGAGCAGGGACACTGCTAACTAGATCAGGTTGCTCAGAGCCCCGTCCAACCTGGTCTTGAATGTTTCCAGGGATGGGGCCTCCACCTGTTCCAGTGTTTCACTACCCTCTTTGTAAAGAATTTCTTCCTTATATCCAGTCTAAACCTACCTTGCTTCAGTTTGAAACCATTACCCCTTGTCCTGTCACTGCTGTCCCTACTAAAAAGATTTTCCCCATCTTTTCCATAGGCCCCCTTTAAGTACTGAAAGGCCGCTATCCGGTCTCCCCGCAGCCTTGTCTTCTCCAGGCTGAACAAGCCCATCCTCAGCTAGAAAACACCTTGATTTTTGGGAAAGCCCATATAACGCTAGATGCTGCATAAGAAGGATAGTGATTAGGATGCAAGGCTGTGCACAGTTAGGATGCCCCTCTCCTCTGTCTGTGTGCACACAGCTTCCAAGTTTGTGTTTGTGTGTATTGGCATACTTCTGCACGCCTATCGGTGCCTGTGTCTGTTCACGTACGCAGTCTGCTCATTTAGGGATACCAGCCCTCTTCCATTTGGTAAGAAAGTTCCACGCATCTGGCACGCAAGCGTTGATGTGTTTCTTTGCAGGCCCTTGGGAGGCTTGTGCTGTATGTTTTAACAGGGGGTAAGAAACCCCTTCAGCAAGTCAGTATGGAGGATTTGGCTGCTGATTCCCCAGATTACAGGGAGGCTCTGGACCTTGTAAGTAGCTTGGTCTCTCATGATGAACGAGGCTTGGAAGGTTTGAGCAAACATCCCTATTTCTGGAGCAAACAGACGTAAGTCCTGGGAGTACAAAGGAAAAGCTTTCAGTATGGGATTTGCCTGTAGTGCTGGGAACAGCGATGTCTTGTTGCAGCTAACAAAGCTCCTCGTTCCACAGCAGGTTCAACTTCCTGAAGACTGTATGGAATAAAATCAAAGATCTCAGCAACCGAAAAACTGTCTTTCAAGCTCCTAATGTTACTGAAAGTTTTCCTTACCCATCGTGGACCAAGGAGGTAATCCTCTTCTCTTCAGATGGATGCGAGGTTCGAGGTAGACTTTCAGGCAGAAGCTTTTCCTGAGTGTTTCACAGGCCCACCATAGCCAGAAAAAAAGTAGCCCCATGGGCATACAGATAACTGGGGGAAAACAATTAAATCTAAGCCACATAGTCAAAATACACCAGACTAAACACATCGATGCTAAGAGGAGCTTCTGTTGACCGGAGTGGTAGTAGGGGATGGTTGTTCTAGCTGGCGTTTATTGGTGTTTATTGGTGACCCCTTAAGACAAGGACCTATGGCCCCTATTGCCAGCAAATTTCTAGCGAAAGGGTTTTGTTAGATTGGCTCAAAAGCAGCGAGACCAGGCCTGCTTTTGTAGGTAGCATCCCGGAGAGACACACCGCATCATTTGGCAGTCTTAGTTCAGTATGGCAGTCTCTGTGGCCCTCTCAACCGTGGCACAGTTGAGTCAGGGCTCCCGAGTCCCTCCTGCCCTCCAGGCCCACGTGAAAATTTCCTGTGCCGTGTTGACGGTCCTAACGTGAATGTCATGCCGAGGCAAGGCAGGAGAGGAAACACGCAGCAGAATCAGGGCCGTTGGTGTGCCCTGCGGAGCGAACTCTTCTGTTCATGTTGGGAAATAGGCTTTTAAGGGTCATGAGATGTATCCGTGCAGGATGATGCCCCTGCAGAAAGGCAGTGGCTGTGGTGAGTGGAGGTAGGTGTGCTGCTTCTGCAGTGTGTGAAAGGCAGAGAATAATCTACGTGCTTTTTTTCAGGTTGACACGTATGTTCTGCATATCATGAAAAATCCTGAGAAAGGAAACCCATACAAGTATAGCAACAATGTCATCGACCTACTGAGGTTTATCAGAAACCTGGATGAACACCCAGATAGGAGGTACATGTTTGCATCCTTGCCCCTGCCACAGTTACATTGCAGGGAGCACCTGGGTATCTTGCAAGCATCAGGGAGTTTGAGAGCAAAATCTTCTTCAGATGGTTTTCCAGAAGGGTGAACACCACCGGGATGCGGGAAGTAGCCGCTCTAATGAAATGAGCTTTAATGGACTATATCCTCTGGCAGCCACAATAGTGTGTGAAAGATGGTGCATCGCGGCAGCAAGCAGTCTGGAGTCAGCCCTCAAAACCTCCTTCCTTAGGATAAGAAAAGGAGATTAGCTCACAAGACTAGACCTCAGACTTTGAAGCAAAACCTGACTTCCAGATCATCTCCCACATCACTCCCAGAACACCCTCAAGCAGAGCCTTCCGCTCCTGAGGGATAGCAGCAGCTTCAGAGACAGGGTGGTGGCTCCCTTGGTGCCCTTGCCTTTGCAGAGCAGCCTGTGGGGTGCAGAGGTGTCCGTGGCGGCGAAAGGCAGGTCACACGGCTCTACAGCAGAGGATGCTGTGAATGTATCCATCTGGGCTGTTATTTTTGCTGCAGGTTGGTGTTCCTTGCCATAACTCCAGGAAGGTTTTTAGATCACTCTTAAATATTTCTATCATCCTTTATACCTTTGAAAAGCCACCTTAGCCACCTTGCTAGTTATTTCCAAAGTGCTGATGTTTACTGTGCTGAAGTGCTTTGAGATACAGAATTGCAGAATCACAGAATGGCAGGGGTTGGAAGGGACCTCGGGAGATCATCTAGTCCAACCCTCCTGCTAAAGCAGGTTCACCCAGAGCAGGTTGCACAGGACAACATCATCCAGGTGGGTTTTGAATATCTCCAAAGAAGGAGACTCCACAACTCCCCTGGGCAGCCTGTTCCAGTGCTCTGTCACCCTCAAGGTAAAGAAGTTCTTCCTCATATTCAGCTGAAACCTCTTATGCTTCAGTTTGTGCCCATTGCTGGATCAGGAAGCACCTGTCCTGTTAGAAAACCCTGTTAGGAGGTCTTGACTCCTAAAGAGCTGTCAGAGTCTCCAACCCTGTAGAGTCATGGGAGATTACATGTGAGGTTAGAGGTGGTGGTAGCTCCTAGTGATGGTTTCACTGAGACCAGTGGCCAGACTGCTCTTCAGGGAAGATACAGGTGGGATTAGGCAGATGGAGGTGCTGGAGGAATAGTGAAGAAATGGATTGAGGAGCTTAGGGAAGGTATAGAAAAGTTGCAGATTGAGGATTTCTTAGGAAACCTTCCTGTGTTATCAGAAAGCCTCTGGAGTGGCTTTTTCTCTGCAAGGGAGGAACCACGGCATCCTGAACGCTTGACTCCTTGCAAAAGTTCTTAAAATCCATTTTGGTTTTGTTCTGTTTCAGGATCAGCAACAGAATAGGAGATCATGCTGAGTATTTCTTGAAGATTTTTCCAGCGCTTACCATTTACGTCTACAACAGCTTACGCCAGAATCCTAAATACAGTCACTTGGCAGACATTCAGGACCCTTCTCTGTAGGATGTCATCACCTCATATCCCACATCTGAACCCACCGTCACTGCCTCCTTTTATTCCCTATTCCTTCATCTGCAAAAGAGTCAAAGAAAGTGGGTAAGGAGATGGGAGAGAGCACATGCAGGGACAGAGACAGACTAAGAAATGAAAGATGCTTCAGAAGTGTTTGGTGTAACAACCACAGGCTTTGAAAAGGAACCAAGTTGAGCGCCAGCTCAGGTCCCCCTTGACTACTTGTGTCCCTCTGGCCTTGTCTGCCTCTGAGGTGGAGATCAAGGCCCTGATCCTTATGGAGAGCAGGGAAATGTGGGACAGACCCCACATACCCAATGCATCTGGAAGACGGGAGAAGAGCTCACCCATTGCCAGGCAACACGGGAATCTCTGATAAAGAAAAAGGAGCTCGACCTCTCTGCTAAGGCCAATATTCCCCTACAGCTTGCACTGATGAGCTGCTCCTTTACCCCTAGAAAGACAGGGATTCTCTCTTTTCAGTCTTTTTGAAACACAGCAGCCAGAAAATGAGATGCCTAGGCAATGGTCTGAATCATAGAATCATAGAATCATTTAGGTTGGAAAAGACCTTTAAGATCATCAAGTCCAACTGTTAACCTAACCCTGCCATCCCACCACTAAACCATGTCCTAACCACCCTAAGCACTTTGGCTGCAGAGGTGCCCTTGGCCCGTCATCCCTCTGACTTGGTAGAAGCAGACTCAGGCCAGCCTGCTGGGACCTGAAGGACTTCTTCTGGGGGACATAGGAGATGTTTCCATGAGGAACGGCCATAAGGAGCATGATCCCACAAAACTCTGCTACTGTGAGTAGTCCTGGCCTGCAGGGACCAGTTCCTCTCGGAAAGGACGTGCTCTGCTGAGGCAGGCTGGGTCTGCAAGGCAGGGCTACGCACAAGCACTCCCTGTCTCCCAAAAAGTGCTGCAGTTGGTGTATTGCTGTCCTTCTGCCAGGCTCGGGTCCCTTATGCAGAGCTGGTGCCCGTACAGACATAGCATGCAGCCAGCTCAGAGCTTTGATAGCGGAGGCTGGGTGGCACAAACCCACTTCTGAAATCCTGCGGCGTGCCATGTGTGTCTGATTGTCCAAGGGCTTGCTTGCTTCTCGGCTAATGCTCTTGATTTGCACATTGATTATATGTTGCTTATGGAAATATTTTTCAGCTGTTGAAAAGATTTTTAATTTTCAATTAGCCTATGGAAAACCAAGCTTGGAATAAACTTGCCTGGAAAACTGGCTCTTACTACGCTCATTTATGAATGAGGCCCCCCCATCCCCTCTGCACAGAAAGGGAGAATCTGCAGCACTATAAAATACCCAAAAGGCTGGGATTTTTGGCCTTCCTGTGGAAGCGCCTCTCGGTTGTTTAGGTGAGGTGGTGGGCGGTTCTGTCACCGCTCACAGGAATTCCATCTGGCCCATACAGGTATCTGATGGGGAAAGCTGTTGGGAAGTACTGAAGGCTCCCTGTCCTCAGAAGCACGCTGTCTCTTGTGAAACGATGGGCTGAAAGTTGGGGGTTTCTGCATTGTTTTTGTGAGGATGAGGATTTCGTGGATGAGTCGAGGTTCAACGACAAGCATCGATGCTTGCACATGTGTTCTTGCGTACGCGTAAAACTCTGGGGGTGGGTGTGTTTGACCCATCTCCTCTACAAATGACTGACAGCCCTGAATGCATCGCTGAGCATCCTGGCTCAGAGCAAAGGTCCTTCTGACAGTCTTGGGAACCTTTTAAAAATACATAAATGTAACTACAAGAAAGCATGACTATGCACCTGTTGATGAGGTGCCATTAGAGAAATGCAACCAGGAGAATGTCAACTCCTCCTGTGTCAATACTTCCATTTTTCCCTTTCCTCCCTGCTGTTTTTTTTTTTTTTTTGTTGGCTTTTTTTTTGTTCTCTGTCTTTCCCAGGCCCAGAAAGCAGGAGGACACCTGGAGGTGCGCGTCTGGGTCTCGGCAGCGTGGGGAGCAGGGGTGTTGTGGGGAGCACGGTGGCTCTGTGCTGCAGCAGCAGGTTTCTGTCCCTGCAGGAGGAGAGGTGAGGCTGTGGGCTGGGCTCCTTCAGCCTCCTGTAAAAACGTCACATTTCCAGCTTGCTTTGACCTTTGCATCTTCTTGCATCACTCTGCTCTTTTGCTAAAGGGCTGTGACTTGGCAGCCTTAAAAGGCTGTGGAAAGGCCTTCCTGAAAGCAGAAAACACTCAAGGATGTCCAAACCAGAGCAATGATCAAACCTGTGGAGGCTGTGACTTGTCTCTCTGGGACAATCCGGTTGCTGGGAAGAATTTCCAGGGAAGGCTGATGTGGTCTGCAGGTCTGTGTCCTGCTTTCTGAGAAGGCAGAGGTGCCAGCAGGCTGGTTTCAGAGGAGAAACTTGATCCACGCATGGCATCTGCAAAGCTTATTGCTCACAGAGCGTCAGGCCACTGGGCGAGTGGGGGATGCAGCGCTGTGACCAGCCTTGGGGAAAACACCAGACTGCCTCTCCTGCTCGCAGGGTCGGGGAGGATGGGTGAGTGCCCAGCGAGAGGCCAGGCAGGATGGAAAACCAGTGACAAGGACAGCCGGGCAGTATGAGTGGCATGGCGGCGCCTGATGTTGCAGCCTGGGGGTAGAGGTGTCCTGGGGTGCTGGAGGCAGAACCAGCTGCCAGAGTTAGTGCCGCTCGATCTGCTGATGGCTCCCAGCATCAGCGCCCATCTGGGAAGTGCTGCCTGCCCTTGCCTGGCACAGGCAGGCTTGCAGACCACGCACGGTGCCCACGGGGCTGCTGATTTGGCCCTACACACTTCGTTCCCCTGCCGGCATGCCTGCTATGCTGTGTGTTTGCTGTGCATCTGCGTTTTTCCCCTGCTCCTGCTGGGTGACCCCAGGGGCAGCTGGCTCCACCTGATGTGATGCTATCAGGTGCTCCCCACCCTGTCATCTGTGTGCTGAGGACGTGCTTGTGTTCAGAGGTCTGGCCCCAGGTCAATATGTCTCATCTGCTGCACTGGGAATAAAAAAAGTCTGCAGAAGCAGTGGAGTGAAGATCGCTTTTAGCTGCGGTTTTGCTGTGATGAGCTTCAGGCACATCCGTGAAGCCTTCTAGGGACCAGGCTCGGCTGAGCTCAGGCTGCAGAGCCTGAAGTGTTAGTGCAAAGCACACAAAAATGCAGCCAGCTTTTGGGGCTGAGAGCTTCTGGGGCAAAATCAAGTTACAGCACAAGGGCAATTTCGAGAAGCAGGTCACAGTCCAGGCTGTGGGAAGCTGATGCCGCTCCTAAGTGCCTCGTTTATAGAAATGTTGGGACTTTGGGTTTGTTTGGGTTTTTGATCCTCCAGAAGCAAAGCCTTGATAGTCATAGTTGACAAATATGAAACATGTCATTGTCTCCCTCAAACGCACCTGTGGTCTTCCCAGGATTGCAGTGTTCTAGGATTTGAGGGTTAAAAAGCAGCTAAAAACAGCTCAAAAGTTACAAAGCTGAGAGCTTGGGAGGGAGCTGTCTCAGGCAAGGTGTGATTAAGATCATGGTCTTGATGAGGTCCAGAGAATATTCAGGATTTCTGCAGCTTCCTGGGGACATGGCAAAGCCACTGTGACTCAGTTTCACCTGGGGCAAATGAAGGCCTTTTTGGTATGATTTGGTTAGTGCTTTTAAACATACTGCCTTCTAAAAAAAGCATGCCGAGGCCCCAAGCCAGGCAGGAGCTGATTTTGATTGGAAAATTGGAAGACAGGCACCATCTCACCACACAGGGACAGCTGAGCTGCAAACCAGGTGGGCTCTCTTAGCCTTGCCACCCATGGGAGGTATTTAATTTGTGTGGAAAGGCTGGAGTTGAGGTTTTGAGGGATGCTGAGCAGAAGAGTGTAGTTCTGGTCTTTGGTGAGAAGTATGGCCCCCTGTGCAGCAGGGCTCTGGGGACTGGTGGTCTTTGAGGACCCCCATCCTCAGGTGAAGTATTTACTGTGACTGCTTTCTGGCTTTAAGTGCTTTCTAAATGTTTTGTAAAAAGACCCCAAAGGTGGTGTTGTGTGGTGCACCCAGTGTGATTTATTTATGCTGTTTCTGGGTCTCAGCTATGGGCAATGCAGTCTTCTAGAAATGCATGTGAGGAAAGGGACTGTTGTGTGGACAAGGGTATCTTGTTGGGTGGAAATGTATCATGGCATGTCCCTCCCATAGTCACAGAGGTGCAAGCTGCTGTGCTTAACCAAGTAGGCTGGAGGATGCTGTGAGTTGCTTTATTTTTAAGTCTTATTGCTGATTAAGTGCAAACTATGCAGTGTGTCCAGCCTGCTCAGCTTTTTTGGAGTGTACCCCTGTCCTTCTTAGTGTGGATGGTAGGTTGGGAGGTCTGTTCTTCCTCAGAGGTCTGTCCTTCCCTTGGTGCCTGTGGGAAAGGGAGAGATGTTGCATCAATGGCTGCTGCTGATGGAGGTAGGGTGCTGGTGTTTGGGGTGAACGCCACTGCTGTGTGCTCCTGGGGTGTGGGGGGGTTGTCCATGGCATGGAGAGGTGCAGCAACTGGGGATTTTCTGTGGATGTGGCTGGAGATTGTGGGGGTGACCAGTATTTGGCACAGACCCACCCAGTTGGCCTTTGGGTTTTAAGGGGAGTCAAAGCTCTGTTGCTCCATGTACTTGTGCTGGTGTGGTTTGGGGGAGGCAGACCGCCTCTGTGACCACCTACCTTCTCTGTTGGACAGGAGGCAAACTTGCTGAATGAGAGCCCTTTCTCAAGACTTTTATCTGAATCTGAGGAAGAAACCCATGCACAAACTTTCTACCATGGACCAATGCAGGGAACCCTAAAGCTCAGCTTCTGTCCTGGAAGCCTGAGCTCCCCTCGAGAGCTGGAGCGCTCCTTTCAGCCCTGGCTCACCTTTTTGCTCCTCTAATGGCTCTATTTTCTTCTGGGGCTGGGGCAGCAGGGTCTGGATCCCTTTCAGGAGCGTGAAGACAATGATGGCTTGATTGCCTGGTGAGGGAGAAGAGATGAAGCAGTACTGTATGGCAAGTGCTCTGATGGCAAATGAGGGAGGATAGCAGGGTGTGTTGTCCCCTTTGAATTCCATGGGGCTTGTACGGAGGTCAAGGGAAGGTGGTGAGCCTTGAGTTAAGGACATGAGTTACCCGGATCTCCTTGACTGTGAAGCTGTTTGGAGGCTGCAGGGCAGGGGTGACCTGTCCCGCCCTGGGGGACCTCTGCTGCAGGGTCGGGGGGTCCTGAGTGGCAGACAGGATAGGCTTGCGAGGAAATAGCATGTGGGGGGAGGGAATGTGCGGGCACAGCTGCCCCCACGCACCCATGTGCTCTCATCTTTGTGCCCGCATGGGGCACCTCTCTACGCTCATGTCCATGAAGCAGGGTGCAGGCAGTATGTCCAGTCTCAGCAGGCCCGGCCACCTCTGCTCTGTGCAAAGGCACAGACGGTACCACAGTGACGCCTGGTGATGGGGAGGTGGATTCATGTCTGGCACCTTCCCAGCCGTGCACACACTGCATCTGCACAGAGCAGTAACTCTCAAAATAAGAGAAAAGCAAGACATGGGCGATCGGAGGCTGTCTCTGGAATTACAGGTATTTTCCCTTGCAATTTGAGTGCCTTTTAAAAACAACATAACCATTTTTTTCCCAGCTGGAAAGCAAGCTTTTTATCCAAAGGTCAGAAAAGCAAGATCCTCAGAT